GACTTCACGGTAAGAACTAGTTTACTACTCTTAACCTAAAGGGAGCCTATAACCTAATCCGCATAAAGAAAGGAGACGAATAGAAAACGGCTTTTCGCACTAAGTTCGGTCTATTCGAGTATTTAGTAATACTATTTAGCCTCACTAATACTCTAGCTACCTTCTAGCGAATAATTAATAACATACTCAAGGAGTACCTAGATATCTTCGTTATAGTATACCTAGACGATATTCTAATCTTCTCGGAAAACCTTAAAGAATATAAGAAACACGTCTACTAGGTACTAAAAATACTTTAAGATACGAACCTCTTAGTTAACCTAGAGAAGAGCGCGTTTTATATATAAGAAACTATCTTCCTCGGATACACGATCCGACTAAACGAAATCCTAATAGAATAAACAAAGATTAATATAGTTAAAGAATAGCCTATGCTAATAACGCTTAAGGAAGTATAAGCGTTCGTAGGATTTATAAACTATTATCGACGCTTTATACGCGACTTTACGAAAATCGTAGTACTACTCACGGGACTTACTAAGGGAAAAGGAGAATTTAAGTAGGAAACGGAGTAATAAAAAGTATTCGAAGGATTACGAGATACTATACTATCGAATATAGTACTTATAACCTACGACCCCGAAAAACCACTCGAATTAGAAATAAACGCATCGGACTACGCTATAGGAGCATAAATTAGTTAACGAGATAACAATAGTAACGTACGACTAATTATATTCTTCTCGAAGAAACTCTACGGCGCGGAACTAAACTACCCTATTTACGATAAGGAATTCCTAGTAATTATCGTAGCTATTAAGGAATTTAAGTATTATATACTAAGGACGAAGTTTACTACTAAGGTTTATACCGATTACTAAAATATTTCTTACTTCGCGATAATATAAGAACTTAGCGCACGATAAATAAGATACGCTAAATTCTTAGCCGACTACGATATTAAAATTATCTATCGAAAAGGTTCGGAAAACGGTAGAGCAAATATACTTAGCCGCCGACTAGACTACGATACCGAAGTACTAAAAGCCAAGGGATAGATACTTTAATAAAATAACAAAGGAAACTACGTATAAATAGCACTTAACCTCCTTATATTTAGAGTAGAAGTAGATACTATATACTACGATAAAATACTAGAATAGGTATTAAAGCATAAAGAAGAAATACCTAACGACTACGCAATAGAAATAAGAAAAGGACTTACTAGGAACGGACTACTCTAGATACTACCGCCGCTACGCGATAAAATCTTAGTTAATATTTATACGTACCTTACGGTAGGATATTAAGGAGTTAGGAAGACTCTCGAACGAATATAACGAACGTACGACTACTAAGGAATTAAGGTAGATATCGTACGTATCGTCGGATAATATAAAGATTATACACGTAGCAAGGCTACACGGCACAAACCATACGGAGAATTAAAGCCACTACTAGTGCCTTTAAGGCTATAGGAATTAATAGCCTTCGATCACATTACGAAGCTACCTAAATCTAAGGAACTAAGATCTAATATCGAATACGATAGTATATTCGTTATCACGGACCGAATGAGTAAATTCGGATATTTCCTACTATACTAAGAAGCAACGGATATAGAAATACTCGCATATATAGTACTTAAATATATCGTGGCTAACCACGGCCTTCCGGAAGAAATTATTTCGGATCGAGGAACGATATTTACCTCGAAGTTCTAGCAAGCCTTAATAGCTTAGCTCGGAACCAAGCATAAGCTTAGCACAGCCTACTACCCTTAGATAGACGGACAGATAGAAAGGTTAAACTAGACACTAGAACAATACCTACGGTGCTATATTAACTACGAATAGGACGATTAGGTCTCGAAGTTACCACTCGCCTAACTCGCCTATAATAGCGCACCTACGGAATTAACTTAAATCTCACTATTCTATACGAACTACGGATACGAGCCCGAGTTCGGCAGCAAGACACTAAGGGATAGACCTCTTGCTAAAAAAGCAATGCTCGAGGCAGACTAACTACGCTCACTACATGAATATATAAAAAGACAGCTCGAATTCGTACGTACACGAATATCGAGGTACTATAACAAGAAAAGATCGAGGGGACCGATCTTTCGGAGGAGAGATATGGTCTACCTACTACGCAAAAATTTCATAATAACTCGACCCTTATCGAAGCTCGACCATAAGAAACTCGGATTATTTAAGGTCGACGAGGTTATCTTAGACACTAACTATAAGCTTTTACTACCCTCTAGCATAAGGATACACCTAGTCTTTTATATCTTATTACTTAAAAAGGCACTACGAAACGCAAAAATAAGCTATAAACTAGAAGTTTTCGAAGAACTCTATAAACTAGAACGAATAATCGATAAATAAATAATTAACGGAGAAACTAGATATCTCGTTAAATAGAGGGGGTATACTAGTAGCGAAAATATATAAGAACCTACTAAATATCTTAAGAATTGCCAAAGCCTGCTCCGCCGTTTCTATCGTGCTAACCCGACGCCTGGGTATACTATAAGGCAGACGTAGTAAAATCCTCTATAAACAAGGGCTCCGGGGGACTACTACTAAAGCACTCCTCCTAATTCTCTAGGAAATCCAGAGTTATAAGACTATCTATCGAAGAACGAGCTGTAGGATTGCTAGACATAGAGGCCTCCGATTAGCGAGTACTCTCGCGCTCGGCCTCCTCACGCTCGACACGCTCTAACTCCTCTATATTATCGATACCACGAGACACGGCTCGTATTATCTTTTTAAACTATAATTTCTTTTGTTTTCGAAGGCGCTCTACCTTAGTATCTATCACACGACGAGCCTCCTCCGCCTTTTCTAACTTAGATTCAAAACGGGTATATTGCGCGGCAATTCGGCGTAATTACTATAGCGAAAGCGCTTTAACGTCGTAATAAGAGAGATTAAGACGAACGTACTTAAAATAGCGCGAAGAGTCCTCCTCGGAAGCAATATATTTGCGATCGTTCTTTTCGTAAGAAGAATAAGTACTCTTTATCTTCACGGAATTCAAGAATACGACCTCGAGAAGAGCGTTACGTTATTCGGTTTTCTAGGAACGAGAGTTGCGAGTTTTTGTAACGCGGTCTGGTATTTTAGTTAGCGTACCGTAAGAAGAGGAGAAGAAAAGCTAGGAACACATATCACGGCGACTAACATAGTTTTGATTGATTCTAGGACAGAATCCCGGAAGGAAGGATATTATATTACGACCCAATATGCGGCCACTAACGTATGTCACGTGGGCCCCATACTTTCGTCGTACGAACCTATTCATATTCTTTATATAGTAAAGTATAAAGCGGTATAACGGCCGCCCGAATAAGCAATATTCGTACGAATGTCGTTCGCACGAATGCCGGTCGCACGAATCCCTATTCGTACGACCTAGGCCCTACTGTTTCACACTAATTACTTTGGATTATCTACAAAACACTATAATCCGGATTATCGCACTTATCTTATGAGCCTTATGATCCACGGGTATTATTTACTTCATACAATGATCCCCTTAGTATATAGGAAGCCTAGCTTCACCATAGTTAGTCTCTACCAGCTCCTTAGCTATTAATATAATTGTCTACGCAAGATCTACTATCTCGCACATAGACTATGACCCGACCGCTTAAGTCAACGATATCCTAGTGTACTTAGTTCATAAACCGACTTTAGATCTACCTACCCTATAGCTAGTCTGACCCGAACGTCACACTGACCCGAACGTCACAACTTAACTCCTAGGCACGATTAACGGCTTATTACTCCTCTAGGATAGCCTTTTCTTAAGAACGCACCTTATCCTCCTTATTTAACTTACGTATACCACGAGATATTAACTCCGAAGTCTAACTTCGAAATAACTCTCGTTAGCGACGAAGGCGCTAAACGCGCCCTAGAGCCTCTTAAAGCTCTGTTGAAAATAGGGGACTAATCCCCTAATTAGGTGCCTTACGAGGCCCTCTCACAGAACCCTTACAGGGATCTATTCTGGACCTATTACAGGGGTCCATAGTGCTTACAAATATAGTGCTTCTATTGCCTTCTATAATATTCGAAGGCTAGTACTACCACACTCGCTATTATAAATTAAACCTTCTATAACCTTCCATTAGGTTCGGTTTGACCCACTCTTTTACAGGGCATTACAGTGCTCTCACGCCTATAAATATAGGCCTTCGTTCACTACTAGATAGTTCTGAATCAAGTTATTCATTCACTATTCTTCACCTATATCTTGCCTACCCTAAAGAGAAGATTGCTGAATCGGTCGCTTTCTTCCTTAACTAAAGGGATTCCCGGATTATCGCGATTCACTTACCCTGCGCCTAGAAGAGTACTACTCTTTAAAATTATTATTATA